ATTATTATTTGTTTTATCAATACAACAAAAATAAACCACAATCCATTACTACATTTTTGTCAATAATATTACCATTAATATTAATACAGTACAGGTGATGTATTATCCTATAATTATTAATTTCATAATACTTATTACCATCATCATTAATTCAGGTACGTACTTCATTCTTGCATTGCCATATTATTGGGGTTTTTTTTTATTACCATTAGCAATATGAATAATGATTATTATCAAAATTATTATTATTATCATCAATATTTTTATTATGATTATTATAATATTACTGAAGTATCACTATTATTACGGTAGGCGTTAATAAATTAGTAGTTATAAATTATTTCAGGTACTTTTACGTTTGCGTAATATTTGTTAATTGATATTCTTGTGTTGTGCGTGTTCAACAAACTTGACGTTGATTATCATTCATTGCAGGCTGGACGCACACCACTACATTGGTGTCTACAGAATGAGAGGCTGACGCACGAGCAACACAAGGAACTCGCAATTCTCAGTATCACCTTTGGCGCGTCGGTGACAATAAAAGATAGGGTAATGTACAGAAAAATGAAATGCATCAAAAGAATATCAGTCAATGACCTTAATACAACAACTGTATATGAAACTACTTGAAACATTTTTACTAATTAAAACCAACATAATAAATATAAATTCAAACAAAATTAAATCGAAAAAAAAAAATCATACGAGTAATAATGTTGATTTTTAAAAAGTTTTAGAAGTATGAGTTTAATAATGTTTATTATCAATTAACTGGATGGTAATTTACAACATAATTATAATGTCGTGATGATAACATTGTCGAGTGTTCATTAGATATATTATTTTTATTATTATCTTTGAGTATTTAACCAAACTATATCACTGTTTTCCGTTTATTTGGTTTTTAATTGTCTTGCAATGGAATGAATCATCGCGTGCTCGTGTCTGTTATTGCAGTATGGAAAGACGCCTCTTGATTTGTATGATGATAACGAATGTAAAGGATACGAAGAAACCACGAGAAGTGAAAAGAAACAAGATTTAAAAGAATTACTTGAAAGTACGTTGATTGACATATTACATATCTGTGGAATCAAATCTTCAAACTCTATTTAAAACAGTACTTATCATACATCCGTATTACGTTTGACATTTGAAATTCTACACAATTAATTTATTATTTCCACATTTTGATTATCGTAAAAAGGTTTATTTCATCGTAAATATTCAAAAATATAATTAAAAAAGAAAATACTAAATATTGTTGTTATGTTTGTACATAAATTAGAACTATCAACTCCATCAGAGATTTTAGCCAGGGGTCCCGATGCCGTCAAAGCATTCAAAGATGCACTTAAAAACGGCGAAATAACAGTTGTTAATTCAAGACTGATGTTTCTTGGTCAAGAGGGTTCCGGGAAAACCTCTTGTGTTAAAGCCATGCTGGGAAAACAGTAAGTACAACAAAAAGCCTTGTATTAATCCAAAAAATTGTATTTTTATATTATATGGATCATTATTTCCCTTGCCTTCCTTTTTAATCGGTTTCAATATTTTTACGTGCAGTACAGTCCGTGCGTTTTCTACTGCAATTTAACTTTCAATATTCTTTGCTTTTTGTCGTGCACGCGCTTGTCTGCTGCGCGTCCGTTTACTTGTAACTTTCTGAAAGTAAGCTTGTTGCTATGCAACGAGTCGATTGTAAGCATGGAATGAGAAAATGGAAATACTGTACTTTATTGGATTTCAAGTTGAACAGTAAATAGACCTACGAGTTATTTTTGTGTCAGGAAAAGTATGTATAACTTGTTAATTACTTATCTTTTGTAATAATTATTATTATCATCAGTGTATTTATTATCTAATTGTTATTGTTATTACCTACAGAATTATCATCATCATTGTAATCACTTTATATAGTGATTATAATAATGGTTATGATTATATTTTTATTGTTAACAAGGACTTATAAGTCGTTGTTATACAGTGTTATTTTATTCAATTAAGGGCCTATTTTTATTTTATTAATTCTGGCAAAACAGACAACAAAATAAAGCATTACAAATACACAAAAAAAATCAGAAAGTCACAAACATAAAGAATAATTAGCTGAGCTAGGGGCCAGCAAAAGTGGAACCCATGTCATTTCATCTTAGAGGTGACGTGCTGCTCCCAAAAAATGGAATAAAATAATAATAATAATAATAATAATAATAATAATAATAATGATAATTATTATTATTATTATTATTATTATTATTATTGTTATTATTTTATTATTAGGCTTATTATTATTATTATTAATGATAAATCAATATCGAACATTTAAAAATCATTAAAATATTTTTTTAACTTACATTTAAACAAAAGAAAATTAATAGATATAATAAAATAATTTCGAATATCCATATTGAGGTTACTCCACAATCCAGTTGGAATTGAAAATTTTGAAGAGTCAGTTTTAGATTTTAAATGTTTAAATGTTAAAAGTTAAGGATGACGATTATTAATAATTAATTTTAAACTCGCATGGGAGGAATAACGTAAGCGATAAATATTTAATAGGCCGATACTAAAACATCGTGGAATACTGGGCAAAATCATCAATCCATCACATAAATGCCCTCCAGTACGTACCGCTATTTTTACAACACCTTTAAATTTTACAGCCAACCTAAATATAGTCAAACATTTTTCCTACCGATTGACTACGGTTATCTTCATAAATGCCCTGCTTCGAGGCTCAGTTCTGCATATTTTTTTTAAATTCTAAATTTATTTTTAGAGCACATTACCAATTTTTATCCTGATCGTTTCGAAATAATTTTGCCAGGGCAAACATCATTCCTCACATGTAGATTTGCACACATATAGTCCGTATACCAATAGTACTGTACCCTCTTATCCAGGTTCTTGGTAGTACTGTTCTCAGTACTATGTCTCAATTTCTATATGACAACTGATGTGTGGCATGTCTTAGGCCCTACTGTATAAATATATATGCCTGACACCGATGATGATATCATAAGTGTATGTCTACGAACGACGCATTGCCTGTTATGAGATATAATTAAATTAAACATTTAATTCTATATCTATATTCTTCAACTGTGATGAATTTACAATTAATTTTTAATAACTTTAAAACAAGTTCGAATGAGAAAAAATATTCCCCGATATTAAAAAGTAAATAATAACTTTCCTGTATTCAATTATAGATCCTATTGACTCAATTATCTTTATATTTATTATGACATTGTAAATTTCAATAATAGATTTAATAAGGAAGAGCCGTCAACCGATGGTATTGTTACAACTAAAACTGTCTTTCAAACTGTCGGTGAGGATTACAACATTTGGGAGGAGCAGAAGGATGTAGACGGTATGATTCTATAAATAAGAAACTTGATGTACACCGGTAATGTCGTTTAACAACCTTCAGAACATTTTAAAATATTTACAATAAATACTTAGGCCTATTTTGATAATTCAATCTGATATATATTTTTTCAATAACTTCTCATTGTTGTCCCATAATTCTACAGAGATTGAACGAACTAAACAGGTACGCGAACACGCTATCGCTACGAATGTAGCAAAGACGTTCGATTTCACTGCTTCTACGTCCTCATCTGATCGTGGAAGGATAGCATTTCCATCTACGTCCGCATCTCCTCTCGAAGGAACATCAGCTGCATCTGTATCAGAAATTGATCCCAGAAAAAAGTCATCTTTATCCCCTGTGTTTATCAGACGGTTTAAAGGTAGATATTTATTAATGTTAATCTAGTTTTGCTCGACTTGGGTTTGTTTTTTGTATAAGTTGTGAGTTCATATGATCCATTTCTATTTATTGTTGTTGTTGCGTTCAGTGGCGTGACGATGCCGTCGGGGCCCTGTGGCTTTCTGAGACTATTATTTTGATTGCCAATCGTTGTAGTCTAAAAGCACAATTTGGACCATGCTAAGCTCTGAAAATTCTCCCGTGAACACTACCAAACTTGGACTAGGACCGAGGCCTTATAGTCGCCCCCTTTGTTTCGGTTTCCACGTCCGACATGTCAGACCCCTTGTAGGCAAATTTCTGGAGCCACCGCTGGGTCCTTTTTAGGTGTCATTCTGTAATTTCATCGTGAAATTTTTGATTTTCTCGTTTTTTATTCATGTTTTACTTTGTTATTCTATTTTTTTAATGACGAATAAAATGATATAATATCAGTGATGGATCCAGGAATTTTAAATAGAGATGACCAGGGATAAACTTTGAGAGATTGAGCGTAAACCACATCAGCCCTGGTTGAGGCTGATCTAATAACGTTTATGATTGTGGCACTTCTGGATGGCGGGAGATGCCACAGATTTAAAATTGTAATATAATTTGATTTTCATCTCCATTAAAACAAATGACAAATTTAGTTATTGCAAATTATTGCAAATTTCAATAATAGATTTAATAAGGAAGAGCCCTCAACCGATGGTATTGTTACAACTAAAACTGTCTTTCAAACTGTCGGTGAGGATTACAGCATATGGGAGGAGCAGAAAGATGTAGACGGTATGATTTTATAAATAAGAAACTTGATGTACACCGGTAATGTCGTTTAACAACCTTCAGAACATTTTAAAATATTTACAATAAATACTTAGGCCTATTTTGATAATTCAATTTGATATATATTTTTTGATAACTTCTCATTGCTGTGCCATTCTACAGAGATTGAACGAACTAAACAGGTACGCGAACACGCTATCGCTACGAATGTAGCAAAGACGTTCGATTTCACTGCTTCTACGTCCTCATCTGATCGTGGAAGGATAGCATTTCCATCTACGTCCGCATCTGCTCTCGAAGGAACATCAGCTGCATCTGTATCAGCAATTGATCCCAGAAAAAAGTCTTCTATATATCATCGGTTTATGCGACTATTTAAAGGTAGATTTATTTAAAATGTTTAGACCTACCATAGTTGTCTCTGGGGCCTTGAGAATCACATTGTTTAAAAGTTGTAGAGTTCATATAATCGATCTCTAATTATATTGTTTGTGCTACTTTAAATACAGGTCGTCGATTTACTGTAATTGATATAATTCTGTTAAATTTCATCGCTATTATCATGATAACAATCATAATCATATTAACAAGAACCACCACAACCATCGTCACAACCACAATACTAAGAGAATGTTTCACACTTACAGTTCATTGTCATGTATTTTTAGGCAAAAGTGTATCTGAGGACACTGGAGTATCCACCAATGGAAAAGGTGTGTCTCAGGACACAGGGGTATCCACTAATGGAAAAGGTGTGTCTGCGGACACAGGAGTACCCACCAATGGAAAAGGTGTGTCTCAGGACACAGCAGTATCCACCAGTGGAAAAGGTGTATCTCAGCACACAGGAGTATCGAGCAATCAGCTTATGACATATGAAATACGAAAGAAAGTCATTGACAAACTTGCAAACAAGAGTTCTGGGCCGAGTGACGTAACTTGTATATGGGACTATGCCGGTCAACTTGATTATTATATTACTCACCGGGTAAGTGGACATTCTGTAAAACAATCAGTGCAGTGATTGGTCATATCATCGTGCACACAGCACTGAATATCGATTGCACTGTACTGCAAAACAACAGTGAACTGTTTTTCCTTTTTTTTCATTTTATTTTATAGTACATTTATGTTTATTATGTAATTTGTTCCATGTACCAAGAATTTGATTTGTAATATTTTTGTGATGACGATGTAATAATAATAATAATAATAATAATAATTTATTTATTCCAACCATCTTTATAGTGGGATTGACCCTTCCACTTAGGCTGATATTCAGGGCCCTCTGCATGATAAAATCTGAAACAATAAAGATAAAGTCAAAAATCAAGTTTTATAACAGATACATTCCTCACTAAACAAATTAATCTAGGTTCAGCATATACTTTTAAAAATAATAAATCGATTAAAATTTTGGAAATTGGACCTACTAATTATTATCATTGCATTACATTGAATAGTGAGTACCATTGCACTGAGAACAAAAACAAATGATTATTAGGCAACTGAAGCCACTGGTGTCCCCTATGACAACGTAGCATAGCATCATTAATGATGTGAGAGTTTTCCTGTTTTTCCTATTGGTTTGTGTGTGTTGAAATTTAAGAACAGGCTCCTATAGGCAGCTTTAGAAAATTATTAATGAATGAAATCAATGCTTTATTTCAGGCAACATGTCTATATAAAAATAATAGAAGGCAGATTAGTGATAATAAAACCACATACTTAAGCATCAATTAAGTATGTGACGCCAAACGTGCATTAATAATTATAAAAATAATAATACTTTATCAACATCGTGTGTATATAGCTCACTTTAAGAGACTATAGAATATTAGTATGTGTTCAACTTATACCTTAGTTAGGCTACGTGTCTATATCCCTATCCTTAATATGGTTTAACAATCCGCTGATCTTTTTTCTTCCAGTTTTTTCTTACAGATGTGACATCTTATGGAGTTGTATTCAGTTTGCTAGACGCTTTGGATGAATTAGCAAAGCCAAGAGATCCCCAAAAAGTAAATGAATCAGTTAAATATTCCAGTGAATTTATGAAATGCAGTAGTTTAAGTAGAATTACATTATTTAATAATGAAAAAAAAGAAAATATAGGCGTCAATACAAATATCTATCAAAGGCGCTGAGTGGGGAATAACCATCTGAAATAATTTTCGCAAATCCCACTTTATAAATTATGTGATTTTTTTTTTGCATATTTCTAGGGATTTCTTGAGATGACAAATCTGCAATCGATCTTATTTTGGATAAGGTCAATATTTGAACACGCTGTACTGCTACATGGCTCTGAATCAAAGAATGTGATCAAAGGAATGATAGCATCACCGACGATTAGTCTAATTGGGACGCACATGGATCTGCTACCGGGAAGTGATGCTGAGAAGCAGGCTAAGGTGAGATA